CCAAACTATTCTCTGTATATACCTAAATATATTTTTCCTTCTTTCATTTGTGCTTTTCCTCATCCCAGCTTTTCCTTCCCATTGAACAATTTCTTTCCCTTTCACAGTATCTGTTGGACCTTTTAGAGTTTCATCTCTCAGGTTCTCACATTAGCAAGATAATACGATGTTTGCACCTGTGGATCTGATTGATTTCACTTACCAATATAGTCTCTAGCCGCATGCATTTATCTACAAAAGCCTCAGATTCATCTGTTTTTATAGCTGAATGATACTCCATTGTGTAAAAATGCCGTATCTTTTTTATCCATTCCCCAGTTGATGGGTATTTGGGTTCTTTCCAAGATTTAGCTATGACCAATTAGACAGCTACAAACATGGGCGCACATACATTGCTGTGGTGTGATGATTTCAGTTCTTTTGGAAAAATATGTAGGAGAGGAATACTTGGCTTAATGCAAGCTCCAATCCTAGCTTTCTGAAGAATCTCCACACTGATTTCCATACTGGTTGTACCAGTCTTCACTGCCACCAACAGTGGAGAAGGGCTTCTTTCTCCCCCACAATCCCTCCAGCATTTGGCACTGGTTGACTTTTGTGTGTGTGTGTGTGTGTGTGTGTGTGTGTGTGGCCAGCTCAGCCCACCAGGGGGCGGGGCTGGCTGGCATGTGGTGCTGGGGGATTGAACCGCGGTCCCTGTGCTTTGCTAAGCTTGTTCTAAGTACGTGCTTTAGACCACTGAGCCATCTTACTAGCCCCTGGTTGACTTCTTGATAGCTGTTTTTTCTGGTATAAGATGGTACCTCAGCATTGTCTCAGTTTGCATCTCTTGAATGAACAATGATTTTGAATATTCTTTCATTTATTTGTCACTGGTATCTCTTCATTTGTGAAGTGTTCTCATCTGCCCATTTTTGGATTGGGTCTTTGAATTTTGGAGGCCTATTTTTTTTTAATTCTTCATATGTTCTAGATAGGAGCCCTTTGTCTGATAGGCAGTCTGCTATAACTGTCTCCTACTTTGTAGGTTTTGTTCCACTCTGTTGGTGATTTCTTTTCATGTACAGAAACTTTTCAAAATGATGACATCAAAAAAAAAAAAAAAAAAAGATGAGATCCCAATGTTGGGTTTTTTGAAGTATTTTTCATGCAGTTTGATTTTTGTTCATAAACTCTTCACCTACCTCTATGTCCTTAAGGTTTCTACCTACTTTCTCTTTCAAAAGATTTAGTGTTTAAATTTAACATTTAAATCTCTGATCCATTTTGACTACAGTTTTGTGCATTGTGATAGGTACGGGTCTATTTTAAGTCTTAAGCATGTGGAGAGCAACTATTTCCAGCACCATTTATTAAAGAGGCTGTTTTTCTTCCAATGCACATATTTGGCACCTTTGTCAAAGATAAGGTGGCTTGGTGTGCTTGTAGTTGTGTCTCTATCTTATAATCTGCTCCGTTGTTCCTCAGGTCTGTTTTATGCCAGTGCCATGCTGATTTTATCACAGTAGCTTTGTAGTATAATTTTACATCAGGGATTGTGATACCTCCTCACTTTGATTTGTTGCCCAGGATTGCTTTTGGTATTCTAAGTCTCTTCTGGTTCCAGAGGAGTTTCACAAATGTTCTCTCTAAATCTATGAGGTTTATTAATGGTATTTTAATCTGGATTGCATTGGATCTGTGTAACAATTTTGGGTATATGGCCATTTTCACAATGTTGGTTCTTCTTATCTAGGAGCAGGGAATATCTTTCCATTTTCTGAAATCCTCTTTGATCTCTTTTTTTAGAGAACTACAATTTTCACTGTATAAATCTTTTACTTCTTTTGTGAGGTTGATTCCCAAGTATTTACCTTTGGGGGTGTTACTGTGAAAGGCGTGGTTTCTATAATTCTTCTCTTGGTGTGTTTGTTGTTTGTGCATGTAAATGCTATTGATTTTGGGGTGTTAACTTTGTATCCTGCTACGCTACTGAATTTGGTCATTAAATGTACAAGTCTCTTAGTGAAGTTTTTTGGGTCTTCTATGTACAGTATCATGTCATCTGCAAATAATGATGACTTCACTTCTTCCTTTCCAATCGTTATTCCTTTTGTTCCTTTCTGTTGTCTGATTGCTCTGGCTAATGTTTCCAGAACTATATCAAATAGGAGTGGTGACAGTGGGCACCCTTGTCTTGTTTTTGATTTTAAAGAGAAGGCTTCCATTTTTTAAAATTAATTTTATTGAGAAACAGCAAAATGAGAGTTTCAAAAGTTAGTAGGACAGTTTCAATAATTAATACATTGCATATTGTTGTCTTCATAGTGATTATTCATAGTACAAGATACAGACATGATATCCTGTCCAAACACTATTAGTACAAATCTTTCTTCTCATTGAATCAAGAGACAGTAGCTATATATCTATCCTAACTATTTTGTATATACTGATACAAAATGCTCCTTCATTTATATCCCTTTTTGTTTAGCTTTGTCAGAGATGGGTATTCCATTGCCATTTAAATATTGTAGGTGTGTGCATTCAGCAAAATAATCCAATATAGTCCAGTAGTCCATAATAGTAGTGGGTTATCTGCAGGACTGGCAATGTCAGAAGTTGTTGACTTGAGCCTTTCACAGCTCAGCATATTAATATGGCTTTACTTTTTATACCTTATTTTTATATTTTTCTGCTGGATGGTTGAGACCAAGACAAAGCAAGACCTGTATAACAAGAAATGTAACTTTTGTATCTGACAAGGTCAGTCAAATTCCCTCAGGATTAACCCTGAAACCCTGGACAGCATTTTGTAGATCTTTTGTCAGTGCCAGCCATGTGGATGAGTCACGGTCATTGCTTAACCAATTTGCTCTCTGTGAAGGGACTCTCAATTTTATTTTATTTATTTGGCAGAACTGGGTATTGAACTCAGGCCCTTGTACTTGCCAGGGAAGTGCTTATTCCACTGAGCCATCTCCCTGGCCCCAGGGGCTTTCAATTTTAAAGAGAAGGCTCTTTCCACCTCCCCCCTCTCCCCTCCTCCTCTTCCCCTTTTCCCCTTCCCTGCTCTCTCCCTCCTCCTCTCCCCCTCTCTCCTGCTCCTCCTCCCCATTCTTCCTCTCCCCCCTCCCCCTTCTCCTCCCCCTCCCCCTTCTCCTCCCCCTCCCCCTTCCTCCTCTATGTATCTTTTCCATTTTTAAAGTTTTCTAAACAATTGAGTCAGGCCAACAAGGACAACCTCCTCAGTTTAAAGTTAACTGATTAGAGAATTTACTTCCGCAAGTTCCTTTCTTAGCAGCACTTAAATTAGAATTTAATTGAGTAATTGAGGACTACATCTTAGCCAAATGACAAATCAATACAGCAATTTACCCCTTACCAACTTGGCAACCAGACATGTAGCCTTAATTTGTCTTGAAGTGAAGACAATAATTAAATCAAAGTTCTGCCTAATATTATACAAATAACATATGTACAAACAAAAACATACTAACATTTATACGAAAACAAAATCTCTGGGAGATGGTTATTTTTATTTTTGCTGTACATAATGTCTACATTCCTTATTGTTGTAGTCAAAGTTTGCAAAGAACACCATATAGGACACATAATATATAGGATTATTTTATAACTGTCACCCAAAAGTCATATACAGGGAGAGTGCAGTAAATCTGCCCACACTCTAATGACCTAAAGAATCCAGCTGAGCGTCCATATGCCGTGGCAACATCCTGCGAGTCCAGCTAGAGGCCAAGAGCCATGACAATGTCTCACAGGTCTGTTTCATGGGTCTGCGCTGGGAAGGCCGGCATCAGTGGTGGAAGCCAGGAAGTCTGTGCCAGTGGGAAGAAGGCTCCATGCCAGCAGGCTGAGGGATCTGCACTGGAGCCAGGAGGCAGCACTCCAAGTAAGGACCAGAGCGCCCCACAAAGTTCCGCAGCCATCCTCAGTGACAGCAAGGTCCCGAGCTCCTCTGATGATAAGAACAGCCAAGTGCCCGTCAGGAGAGCCAGCACAAGCTTCTGCAGGGAACCAACAGCTCCCTAGCCACACGTCTTCTTCGCCAGTTCTCCTTTTTGTGTTGTTGGCAGTAATGTTCAGGTGCGCCTCCCGCACGTGGCACTGCACTGGCTCAGCTCAGCTGGGTGTCCCACGTCCACCGTCTGTTGCCAGTGTGCCCCATGAGCAGGTGCTACATGGACATGCAATTAGAATTCTTTTTTCATGCTCTTTGCCTCCCTCCTTCCCTGTCCCTCCATCTCTAGATGTCCTTCCCCATGTCTAGGTGCTTCCCATTTGAGGAAGAGCTATCTCCTGCTTCCTTTTATTTATCTTTTATTTAGCTCTTTATAGTTTGGATTTCTCAAGAAGAGAAACCATTTGATACTTAAGCTTGAGTGTCTATTTCACTTGGCAATTTTATGTGATTTTAAATGGCTTCACAGGGGGCACTGGGGATCAAACTCGGAACCTTGCACTTGGCAGGCAAGTGCTTTGCCACTGAGCCATTTCCCTGGCTTGTTTTGTATTTTAGAGAAGGTCTTACTGGCCTGGAGCTCACAATCCTCTTGTCTCAGCCTCTTGAGTGCTAGGATTGTGGATCTGATCCACCGCACCTGGCCAGTGATGATCATTTTCATTCTCTGATATCTTTTAAGTTAAATACTGAGTTCTAAAAGTCATTATTGTTAATGTGCTTATATTAGCTCATAGGATAATAGAGGAAAAACAAAAATAATTTTTCAAACACAAGCATGTCTATGCCAAAACAACAAGAATGATTTCTCATAATTATTTCAATCCCACTTCTGAAACTAGTAACACAATTGTGGCCAGTTTAGGGAAAGCCTTTCCTCCACTAGTCCTGTGGCATTCCCTCTACGTCAGCAAGCATTTCCACTGCTCGTGGCTTTTTGCCTTGTGGGGTGAACCAAAGTTCTATTCCTGAAAAGTATAGATTATGAGTACCCTGCTGGGATTAAGCTGTTGAAGTGTTCCATTTGCCTTAATCAGAGGATATGGTGACACTAGGACTGCTGGACACTTTCTGGATCTTAGACATCGTCACTCTCATCTTCATCCTGTAGGTGCCCTGCTTTCCCTTGGTGGTGAGGACTGGTCACCCCAGCCACTGCCTCCGCTGCATTGGTGGCCAACTGATTTAGGCCACAAGAAGCCCAAGTGGCTGGACAGAGTTGTGAGTATAACGCAACTGCAATATTAGTGGTAAGCTGATCTGGAGAAGAAGTACGTGGCTAGACATGTCCGGGCTGTAGAAAACATTTGGAGACGGGTATGTCCCTTGTGAATGCTCAGTGAGCGATGGCGTTAGCAGAGAAGCATCTTAGTTAGAAGGTAGACACGATGACCTATCTTATGACTTCCCTCAGTCCATTTTCCCAGAAGCCAATGGGCTCATGAGCAAAGTGCTATGGTGGTGGGGACGGAGGCCGCGAAGGGCCCCAGCAGTGCGGACTTCCACCGCCGATACCAGCCTGGCTGTAGTCACCAGCAGCAGAGGCTGACAGGAGGACTCCTGTGGTACCGCTTAGTTGATCAGCCAGTGGTGGGTGTCAAGTCGGCTGCACTGGACCACTTCTGCGGTGGCAGGGCAGCACTTGTCCTTGCTGAGCCCGGCACACTAGGCATGCGGTGGCCATCTCCACCCAGAACCATCTTCTCTGGACTTGCAGGACCTCCGAGCTGCTCTTGTGGGACACCATGCAGCACGCTCTCTGCAGCAGCTTAGCTCAAGGCAACTCAGCGTGGCAAGGCCTGGGCTCAGGGCATTCTTGCCACGTCCCCAATTCTCCTAGAGCAGAGAGCTTCATAAAATGGCAGAATGAGGGCCGGCCAGATAGTTCAGCAGACTAAAGCGCCTGCTTAGGCAAGCGCAGGAACCAGGTTCAATTCACAGCGTGCTGTGCTGGCCTTGCCCCCAGGGTGCACTGAGACAGCAGTTGAGTCCGGGTGTGGTGGTGCACGCCTGCAATCCCAGAGCTTGGGAGGCTGAAAACAAGAGGATCGCTATGAGTCCAATAGATGTAGTGTAGACTCTATATTAAATACATTAAAAAGAAATTTCTAAAAAGTGGAAGAATGGCTTTTGAAGTCTCGGTTCTGGCACCAGCTAGATGAAAGTATCTAACAAAATGTTGCCTCCAACATCTGTGGCCTTAGACCTCACTCGTTTAGAGATTTCACTTCTGTGAGGAGATATAATAGTAGTGACGGAGGTATTGAAAACAGCCAAACTATTCTTTAAAACTTAGGACATATATGTAAAGCATACTAGAAGACTTCAGATAAACAGGCATCAATATAAATTTTAAAATCTAAAACAAATGTACTCAACTCCCACTCACAAAGGTAGTATGGAAGAACAAAGGAAAGCAAAGAAAAACACAAGGGAAGTGATCATAAAAGTAAAATCTTTTGGTACAGAATACAACGACAATAGATATAATTAAGGAATCCAAACTCTGGTGGCTAGTGAAATAAAATGCAAGAGCCATGTAGGAAAAAAATTGATACTACTAATTAATGGAAAACTAACCTAGAAGAAAGTAATTATCATATTAAAAATTTGGAGCAAAATTAAATAGATCATTTCTTCATAAACAAATTTAAAATGAAATTAAACTCCACTGGCCATAGAATTGTTAAGAATGTCATTTTCTACAAAAGAAAATGAGAAGATTACAACACTGATATACCGCACTCATACATAGAGACACAAATAATCCAGATATCTTCTCGGGAGATGTGTATTTTACAGTACACATAAATATCATGCAAACCTGCTGCCAAATAAATTATTCAACTCCATAGAAAATAATGGAAAACTTTCAAATTTTATTTGGAAATTCAAGAATTTCTCAATCGTAGGAAAACCCGCAGAATCCTTCACTGTGAGAAATACCTGTTCTTTTTCTTGACACTGTGGCGGATTGACAACTGGTGGTCAATGTGTTACACCCAGCTTGCCTGGCCAGCTGGGGCTGGGGCGGGAGGCCTCCCCAGGATTGCTGCCGGCAGGCAGCAGGAGAGGCCGAACTGGAGAAGAAGAAGAGAAGTTGGCAGGAAGCCCTTGGCTCCCCCGATGGCTGTTGGCTCCCCTGGACGAGCTTGTCACGCTGGCTGTCATGAGGTGAACTTGGCCGCTCTCTCATCACTGGAGCTGGGGACTCGCTGCCCTCGAGAATGGCTACGCTTCACTCTAGGGGAGATCCGGTCCTTACACTGAGCATAACTTTCTGGCTCTGGAGCGGAAGGTGGTGCGCTGTTCAACCTCACAAGAAGCTTGTCGCACTGGCTTTCCTGATGTGCACTCGGCTGTTCTCACGTCGGAGGAGCTTGGGACCTCACTGTCACTGAAGTTGGCTTGGTACTTTTGAAGGGAGTGCTGGTCCTTACTTTAGGTGTCACTTCCTGACTCCAGTGCAGATCCCTCAGCCCACCGGCTCAGACCCTTCATCCTGGTGGCACAGGCTTTCTAGCTTCCACCACTGACCTTCGGGCCTTCGCAGCGAAAACCCATGAAAGAAACTTGTGTGAGGGGTTGTCATGGGCTCTAGTTCTTCAGCTGGACTCATACAGGACGTTGCCATGGGATCCAGGCCCCCAGTTGGACTCCGTTTCTTTTTCTGTTGTTGTTGTTGTTTGGAACTGGGGATTGAACTCAGGCCCTTGCCCTTGCCAGGCAAGCGCTTATTCTGCTGAGCCATCTCCCTGGCCCCCTCAGCTGGACTCTTTAGGTCTTTAGAATTTGGACAGATTTCCAGTCATATCTCCTTGCATATGACTCTTTAGGTGACTATTAATGTCCTGTGTTGTATGGTTTCCTTTACAAAGACTGACTATAACACACTGTAAAAAGTTTTAATAAAAATTTTAGTACCCATTGCTCATTTTTAAAAATCTCTCCAAACAGCTCCGTAGGGTATCCCCTCTTCTACCCAGCATCATGCTTCTCCTGCAGACTTTGCCACTGTGATTGAGTACAGCACAGGACGCCCAACCTCTCCTGCACTTTCTGATCAGACACAAAGTGGTAGCTCGGCCACTACAATGAGAAAACTATGGAGGCACACAGATCAAAACCAGTGAAGTAAGTCTCTCCGTGCTTACACTGTCATTGTAAAGTTGGAAATCACTAGAGAATTGCTGATAAAACACAAACCTTAAGAGAATTCAGATAGCAAGCAGGATATGAAATAAGACAAAATAAAAAGGATATGCACATACATATATAAAAATACCAAGATACAGCATTCTCCGCATGAATAAAAAACAACTGGAAAAGAAATACCATTTAGAATAAAAACAAAACGACAAAATTCTTTCAAATAATACAAAATATGAATGTGAAATACTATATGTGAAACACTCATAAGTAAATAGAAAAAAATAGTTTTGCATAGGACATCTCAACATCATAAAGCATTTTATAGTCCCTAAATTAATTTATCCATTTAATTGAATCCAGAAAGAATTTGATTGGAAATTTGAAAGCTGACACTAAAATTAATTTGGAAAAATAAATATTAATTGACATATAAAATTATTAAGAAGACTAAGAGTTAATACTATTCCAAACAGAAATTAAAACAGTGTCAAATGCCTATGATTAAAATGACGATATCAGCACAATGGTTATTATTCAGCCATTTGAATTGACAAGGAATTCCATGTATGGAACCATGTACATATGAAAATGTGTTACACCTGTTGGTAGTATTCCAAATCAGTAGGGGGGAATTGAACCTTTGAGTAGTTTGAGAAGATATGGATAGCCTTTTCTTTTCTTTTCTTTTCTTTTCTTTTGGTGGAACCAAGGATTGAACTCAGGGCCTTGCACTTGCAAGGCCGGCACTTATTCTACTGAGCTTTAACAGCCATTTGGAAGTGGTTAAAATTGCATCTGTAATTTATACAGCAACAAGAGTATCACTCAAACTAACCAGAAGTATAAATTTAAAAGACGAAGCCACACAGATCTCAGAACAGATCACAGGCATATTGTTTTATAACTTTTGGATTAGAGGAAAGGTTCCTAGATATGTCCCAAGATCAGGATACAATAAGTATAGATATACTTGAATAAAGAAACATTTTAAGTCACATGATGAGAAATTTAGGTAATATCAAAAGACAAATGATGACTCATGAGCAGTTATTTATAACATACAGCACAAAAATTTCCTTCTTCTAGATTATGTAAAAATATAAATTCCTTGAATTTAAAGATAAAATATAAATACATGATAGAAAAGTCTGCAAAAGACAAGGAAATATAACTTGCTGAAACCTAAAATGATCCTAAAAAATTTTAAATATTCAGTATCACTCATAATAAGAAACATGCAAATTAAAATCACATTGAAATATCATTTCTCAGTGCTTATTTCTGTAAAAATTTAAAATGTAAATGTAGATTACCCACAAAATATCAGCATATAACATTTAAAATTTAATATAGAATGAATTTGAAAACTTCCCCTATCAGTGAGGCTACAAAGAAACATGCATCATCTTTTATTGAGAGTAGAAATGAAAACTGAAGACCATCTCCCTTTGAGGAGAGCATCTGGCCTCTTCTGCCGCGCCTGCACAGACCCTTTGACCTTAGCGCCCATGGCTAGCGCTGCCCCGAAGACATACGTCCCGCAGTGGAGAACCGGGCCTGCCCCGGCCCTGTGACTCAGCGCGACGCCAGGCCGCAGCTTGCAGAAGCGACCGGAACGCCCCAGTCAGGTTAGATGGCGTAAAAATGATACTTAGACCAACTAAAGCGCCATATAACTGCGAAAGTAATGCGCTGCGGCTGCATTAGTGGGTGGACTTGTGAGATCTCCTGTTGAAAAGAGGAGAAGCCACAGATGCAACACTTCATGCCGACGGAAGATCTTACATCAGAATGAACGAAAAACGGAAATATTTTGGTGTAAAAATAAAAATGCAGAAATTACTGGAATTCATCATATAAAGTGTGTGCATGTGCGTGTGCGTGTGCATGTGCGTGTCTGTCTGTCTGCCTGTCTGTGGGTGTTGGGAAAAAGTGTAAGGGGTGAACGGAATGAA